GAAACTAATTATGAGTAAATATTGTTATATAATATAATATATCATAAAATATATAATATAATTTCAAAATTGTTCAAGTGAATTTTGAGTAAATATTTTGTAAATATGAATTTACTTACAGCAATTTTATATACATTTATTGTAGACAGATATTATTATATTTGCTTCCACATTTTTGAATTTTGAGTAAATATTTTTAATATAATTATATAAAATATTATAATCATATTATAGCACATTTTGTCATTTCTAATAATAATTTCAGCAATTTTATATAGATTACATTTTTTATAATTACATTAGATTCTTTGTAATATATCAGTATTAGCATTTTCATCCATCTAAAATCCTCAGAGCAGGTACCTTGTGTCTGAATGGATGCAGAGCGCAGAAGTGTGCAGTGAATGCATAGGCTCTGGTAGTGTGGCTGGCTCTTGTGTTATAGGGTTTGGCATATGGCTGGAGCAGATGACGGAGCATATGTTTTTCTTCCTCATTAAGTGCTCTACAATTAGGAGTGAATCACGTGCGCATATGTGTGAATGTGTATATACTGCGAGTTAGACACCACACATTTATCAACATGCATACGCTGCATTCATCAATCAAATGTAACACAAATATTATATCAGTCTGATAATACAATAGGATAATAAATGAGTTGCACAGATCTGGACTGCTGTGTCCACCGCCGTGACCTGCCTGAACTCTCACGCTCTCAGCGGAGTGATTCATTAAGAGGGTTGTTTTCATGCCAGACGTCTCACAGACAGACATGCTGTTTATAATAATCAGTGTCACGCTGAGAATGATCCACTGGAATCCACTTATTGATATGGCACCCTGACAGCGACTGTTAGGCCCTTATATTGACACTTAAAGGTGCTCTGGGTCATTTTTTCTCATTAAACAGCTTTACGCAAAGAAATAAGAAGCACTTTCGACAAATACGTTTACAATTATGTGCACTTATTCAAGATAAATACCAGTGCAAAGCAAGGGACTAAGAAACAAATGGGTCTTTCTTAAATTCATTAAATGGAAATATACCCCAGCAAACTTAATAATAATTACTTAAAGCGATAGTTCATTCAAAAATGAATATTCTGTCATTAATTACTCACGCTCATATTGTCCCGAACCCATAAGTAACCAAACCATAATAATAACGATAATAATAATAATAATAATAATAATAATAATAATGTTATTATTACATATAACATTATAAAATATTCAATTATATTAAACTGTATTTGAAGTATTAAACATTACTAAAATAAAATAATTATAAATAATATAATAGTAACAACAATACTACTACTACTACTGCTAACAATTAATAAAAAATAATTTATGAAATTATAACAATATTCATTTATTAAATTTGCATTTGAAATATTAAAAATATATTTACAATATTTTTATTCTTATTACTACATATTACAAGAATATTCAATCATATTAAAACTGTATTTGAAATATAAAAAAATTCTAAAATGAACTTACTATTATTTATTATTATCACAACATTACATGTAACATTACAGTAATATGCAATTATTAAAATGTTATTCCAAATATGAAAAATGTATTCCAAATAATAAATTACTAAATAATAATAATATATTATTATTAAAATAAATAAAAAACTAATAATTATAAATAATATAATGATTATGATGATCATTTATCATTATTATTACTACTACTACTACTAGAATGTTCAATTATTAAAACTGCATTTGAAATATTAAAAAATAGCTAAAAATCTAAATTATATTAATAATAATAGTTATTATTATTATTACAATATTACATTGAACATTACAATAAAATGCAATTATTACATAATTATTTATTAATACAGAAATATATTATTATTATTATTTAGTGCTTTTCCTGTGCTTATAAAAGTGCATCTAAACAAAACAAAGCAAACCAAACTAAGTAATAACACAATCTAAATTTTAAATGCAGACCATAACAATAGAGTCCCATGTGTGTGATTCACCAGCCACAAAATGAGTACAAGTGAAAAAATAAAACGTCCAAACGTGCAGCCCCTTATGGAAAATTAAAAATGGGTGCCACATAGTTTCCATGCTTCTTCTATACAGTCCAAAAAAAGGGGAAAATACTATCAAAACAGATCACATCACCTCAACTTTATTGCCAAAATAAAATTATATATGGTAACTAGAAGTGACAGTGATCTGCCATCCATGATAAATATTAACAAACAAACTACTTCATGTAGTTATTAGTTTGAATAGTTTAAGTCATAAGAATAGTCAAAGAGAGAACAAACAATGGCCATGAAAATCAAATTCTAAATGAAAAAAAAAAGTAAAATAAAAAGTACACTCTGACCCTTTTCAATCCAAAAGTGGATAAAGGACATGGAGAGCATATCAACACTCTCTGTACGGTGAGACTGATAGAGCTGGAGTCTATGATTTCATATCCAGTGACAGGTGGTCAATACTCACTTAACTTCAAATTAAAAACTCATTCAGAGCAAATGGAAAATGTTATTTCTGTTCTGGCAGCAAGACTGGCCATGACCCAGCAGATGATAAATTCTACACAAGGCCACTTGTCCTTGAAGGCCCGGCCCGGTAAATGAACGTGTGCTGGAGAGGTGCAGCATCAGCAGAGAGACTTGCTCGCGCTCATTGTCTCGCCTACAGCTCTGATGTTCCTACAAGGCCACGCAATTACACCCAAAATGACTTTGAGAGAAAAAGGAAAGTTTCACACATCTTGTTGCTGATGTTTTGAGAAGTTAGAGAAAT